TTACGCATAGCTAGCTTCAAAGTCAAAAATCAAAAAAAAACCATCAATTTAAAACAACTCTACAATATTGATATGTCTACATGTGCTTCAAGCTCAGACATTAAAGACAAAGTCACTAATTAATTTTTTTGTCGGATAAAAGAAACATTGATTGTCGAAAAATTACTGGGAAACTAAAATATTGCATTTTTCCCGGTTTGGTCTGAAAGAGGCTCAAGAGAAGATGAACAAGCATTTGACTTAGTGGAAGGATCTTGCATTAAAAAAACGAATATATAACTGTTGCTTTGATATAAAAGGTACCAAATTAATATTGAAACTTCCTGTAATTCGTTAATTTGACTAAAATTCCTATTTTAAGAATGGGAAACGATTCAACCAAACCGGTTTAACCACCAGTTTAAAACCGAACTGATGCACACTCGAAACCAGGGTTTCTTGTATAGTGGTTTGATGAATTTGTCACGCTAAAAAGTTTAATGGTTTATTTTCTTACGTTTCTTCGCTTCTTACCTTTTTCATTGTCATAAAGTTAAGTGAAGAAATTGTAAAATATGTTGCACTTGTACTTTTACGTCATCATCAATTATTAAAATTCCCAGCAACGGTAACAATAATAATCGATTTCATTACACCTGTTCTCATTCAACTTCCCAAAATTGACTTCAATGTGAACACAGGACAAGGCTGTTTGGTGAAAATGATGGGATGATCCATTATAAAATATAAATGATGATGAAGTGATGGTTAGAGTGAGAGTGTTTTGCTTGAGAGAGATCACACGCTCGCAATATTTATTACTGTTTTACGATTTATGGCTTTAACGACTTTAGGGCGGTCATGTCGAATTTATTACGTAATGCTGAATTGTTGTAATTCAGGCAGTAGTAAACTTTATAGAAATAAATATATTTTGTGAAGATAAGTAGAATCAGAAAGTACAAGTCCCACAAAAAAGGCATGTAAGTACAATTGTCATTACAACAAATAATTAAAAATGGTTTGTACTATACCCACTGTACAAAGTGTACTGTACTCACTCAATCTAACACAACCATAAATATTTGTGGCTAAAAAAAATGTTCTCAAGAAAAAAATTCTTTTTGACAAATATAATAAAAAACCACAATGGAAAACACTTTGTATGAATATAAACATCATGACAATATTTCTATTGACAAAGTTGATGAATATTCTGATAAAAGCAATGAAGAATACGGGAAATGTTCAACCTGCAATAAATATAATACTGGTTATTCATGGTGTCAATCATGTGATCCAAAGCTGTTGACTGAAGGATGGACTAGTGACAATAAAACGTTAGATGAGTTGATTAAAAGCATACAATTTAAAGCAACTAGTTATGATTATTATTATTATCTTCAGTGGATTCCTTATAATGATTTAACAAGTGTTGAAAAGATGGGTGAAGGTGGGTTAGCAACTATATACAAAGCTACTTGGTTAAATGGAGAGAAAAGTATAGATTATCAAAATAACAAAAGAACTAGCAAGGATGTTCTAGTGGCATTAAAGAAATTACATATTTCACAGAATATTTCTGATGAATTTCTTAATGAGGTAAATTATTTTATTTTTTTATTTATTTTTAATTTTTAAAATATTATCCCGAAATTCAATATATTTTTTTTAGTTCAAAAATTATGTTACATTTTATCATAAATCATTTATAAATCATATTCATGGATTAACACAAGATCCAGCTATAAATGAATATATCTTTGTAATGAATTACATGAAAGATAAAAATCTTCAAGATTATGAAGATCAATTTTCAAAGAAAAGGGATGAAAAATATGGGGAGTGTCCAACTTGTAATAAATATAATACTAATTATTCATGGTGTCAATCATGTGATCCAAAGCTATTAACTGAAGGATGGACTAGCGGCAATGAAACATTAGATGAGTTGATTAAAAGTACACAACTTAAATCAACCAAGTATCATTATAGTAATCATCTTCAATGGATTCCTTATAATGATTTAACAAATATTGAAAAGATGGGTGAGGGTGGGTTTGCAACTATATCCAAAGCTACTTGGTTAAATGGTTATAAAAGTATAGATTATCAAAATAAAAAAAGAACTAGCAAGGATATGCTGGTGGCATTAAAAAAACTACATAATTCACAGAATATTTCTGATGAATTTCTTAATGAGGTAAATTATTTTTTTTTTTTATTTATTTTCAGATTTTTTAAATATTATTGATTATTACAATTGTAATTAAATATTTTATTTGTTATTTTAGTTCAAAAATTATGCAAATTTTCATGACAGAGGATTAATAATTCATATTTATGGATTAACACAAGATCCAATTACAAAAGAATATATATTTGTAATGGCATATATGAAAGATGGAAGTCTTCAAAATTATTTAACTAAAAAATTTCAAATTTTAAAATGGGAAAACAAACTTGGAATTCTTTATGATATTATTAATGGTTTAAAAGATATTCATGGAAAAGAAATTATTCACCATGATCTTCATAGTGGTAACATTCTTCAAAAAGAAAAAAATGCAATTATTGCAGACTTAGGACTATCATGCTCAGCTAGTAAAATACCATCATCAAACAAAAATAATATATGTGGAGTACTACCATATATTGCACCAGAAGTTTTAAAAGAGAAACCATATACAAAAGCATCAGATGTATATAGTTTTGGAGTTCTGATGTCTGTAGTATCAACTGGTCAACAACCATTTAATAATTTGGCACATGACAAATATCTTGCAATTAATATATGTAAAGGTGCAAGACCTGGATTCTCAAACAATACACCAAAATTCTATATTGAACTAGCATTCAAATGCATGGATGCTAATCCAGATAAACGTCCAACTGCTGAAGAAATTTTCAAGGTTATTAAAATTTGGTATTATAAAGATGAATTTAGAAAAGAGTTTGATAAAATAAAATTTGATCCTTCAACAATTGCCACAGTAATTCATCCAAATGCAGTTTATACTAGCAGATTATTAAAATTTACAAATCTCCCCCAACCTGTGAATTCCAATAAAGCAACAATTATTGGCAATAATAATGGTAATTATTAACATTCAATTATTAATTTTAAAGTTTAGTAACAATATTAACATTATTATGTAATAAATTATCATATTTATAGTTTCTCATTTAATGGACTTAAATATTTAGATTAATTTGATTATTTATATTTAATAACGAATGATAAAGGTAATGACTTCTTTATCTTTGGATTTTTTTTTTTCATTTGGAATTTTGGATGTCAAATATCTACACTAAAATAAGGATTTGACAAAAAAACAAATGTATTATCTATTTTTTACCTTTTCAAATCAAATATTTTCATCTCTTATAGCATTAACAAGTTGAAGTGATGTACTTATCAATATATCATATAATATATATAATATAAATTTTTAAAATTTAATGCATGAATCTGAATAATTTAAATATAATAAAATTATACCTATATTATCAAATAAAAAACCCGTATCTAATCATTTCAACTTGTTAAACCACTATTGCAGTCAACCTCCAGAAGAGGCTCCCTGTCCTCAAGATTTGGTTGTCCCAAATGATTCTTTCCTCCAGATATACATAACAAAAACACAAACTATGGTAGACTGATTACAAGTTTGTTGTTTTTTATTCAAATTGTTTATTCGTTTTATTTGAATTATCGAATTATTCGGATAAACTTTCAATGTAATTCGACACTCAAATTCATAATAATAACATGTAAAACAATAATTCGAATAAGCCTTATTCGAATAGAAACCCTAATCAAGCAGTTTAGTTTGAATATTATTGGCTGTATGCCAGATTTGGCGACTGACTATGTAATAAATAACTCAGATTGCACGTTCACAATATTTATAGGCTGTAAATAATTACAGCATTACGGTTTTACGGTTTATGATTTTAACGACTTTAGGGTGTCATGTTGACCTGGTTTTAGTGGATTCTTTTTATAAAATGAGTAAGATCCCGATACAAGATCTTTTATCGCATACACTAATTAATGTGTATAATATGACTCTTAGATGTCGGAACCGGTTAAATAGGTTAATTCGCAATTGTGAGAAAATTAATTAATAGCAGGAATCGGTTTTTAATTATAGAAATTTAAAACGACAAAACGCCCCACTTTAATTGTAAATCTTTGTTTTCGTAGTAGTAGATGAGATGAAGCCACATTCACATTATCGGCTAAATGCAAGAGAATGGAGAGTAAAAGTGAGATACAACTAAATAGATTTGCTATCAACATAATTATCATATATTTGCCTTGGTGTCATTAACTCTATTATTATTATAGTTCAATGAAAGATTCATAATGAACAGATTTAAAGAAATTTTATTAAATCATACATTTTTTTTGTGAAATTTTATTTTTGACAAAAAAAAAATTTTTTATAATTATAATTAATTATACTTAACCGGTTTTTTAACCAGTTAGGGATTTTTTGACAGTATAAACGCCAAGATATTCATAACACATGATCTATAAACTCCTTCACGACAAAGATTATCTAAATATCAATGTGGAAGTGCATATGACCACAAATATTAATGTCCAATTTATAATCAATTACAACTGGTTTCTCTGCTGGACTTTTCGGGTTCTTGATGAGAATTGGAATTGGAATTGGAAGAAAAAACTTATTTTTATTTAAAAACAAACCAATTTAAAGTTTGATAAATTGAATGGTTTTATATAATGCTTCTTTTTTACCAATTGGCTCTTGAGTGATGGAATATGCTGTTGCCTAGAAACAAAAAATGTAAAATGTGTTGGAAAAAATACAAATAAAAAAAATCATATCAATGAAGCCTCGAACTAGTCTTCAAAAATTTAATTGTGCAACTATGCATCCAACGAATTCATTGTTTAAACATTATAACTTAGATCTTTATTACAATCTTTTCCAAGAAAAAATAATTGCCCAAAAATTTTGGTTAAAAGAAAATTTTATATTCCCCTGATGGGTTAATTTATAGCATTCATTTTTTTAAAATTATTTTTAATTTAAATTTCATTTTTAAAATTATTTTTAATTTAAATTTCATTGAATGTGGAAATTTAATAACACTATTTTAGGAAACTGTCTATCTATTTTAACCAATCAAAACTAAAGCTGTGTATCATCCAACTACATGAAAAAAAAACTTGCAAGAAAAAAAAACTTCTCCAAAAACAATAATAATAAAAATAAAAATGGTTAATAAAGTTGAAACAGATGCATCACCGTCAACTGAAACTACAAGACCGATTGCAGCTGCTCGTAGTAGAGCAAGTCGTGGCGTAAAACGTAGTGGTGGTATAAATTCCGCTACTACACAACAAGCAATAACAACAATCCGTTCCTCACCAAGAACAACTCGTAAAACAATACATTATCCCAATAATATAGTCAATAAACATTTCGTTGATAATGTGCCTATTTTAGAAATAACTGTTAGATTTGATGAAGATGAGTACGACATTTGGCGTCGACAAGACACTGATGAAGTTAATCTTTATTATTTATTACGAGTTAAATATCCAAAAGATGAGGATGAAGAAAAATGGGTACAAGAGCTTGAAAAATTGAAAAAAGAGATTGTTGAAATTAAAATTATTGAAAATGGATGGTTTGAAGGTGTTTGGTAAATATCTTTTTTCTTTTTTCCCTTTGGAAATGGCAAATATAAGTTATATATGTGTATATATGTATTATATTGGCAAAGAACCTTATGTTTGTTTGTTTACATCGGATCTGCACATTGAGTATTATTAGTAACTTAATTTATTATTTTTTTTATTTTTTTTAAACTTTAAATTGTTAATAGGGTCCCACTTGAAGCAGGTAAAATATCTTTTTGAAAATAATTATATATTCTAATTAATATCACACAATTATTTAATTCCAATGATGCATCTTAAAAAATTTAATTGTTTATTGTTTATTTAGCAAAGGACATTGCATCGAAATATGGAATTTATGAATATGTAGCAGCCTTATTGGAATCTGAGAATAGTTGGTTCAACAACAACACAAAGAAATATACACGTTCAAAGGTGAATACTTATAATAATAAGAATCATATATTATTGTTCATAATAACAGTATTGTTATTGTTATTTACTAAATAATATTAATACTCTCTTGTTTATAAATAGAATGGGCGTGATAGTCTAAGAAGACATACTACTACAAATACTAATACTACGCATAAAAGAAAAATGAATAATGAAGAATCTATAATTCCAGTCGCTAGTTCAAGTAAATCTAATAATAGTCTTACTGATGAGGATGAGAATGCTACTAATAGGAACAGAAGATCTTTAAGAATTAAATTAAGGTCAGAAGCAAAAATTCAATCATCTATCGAGAATCAAGAATCGTCATCAACAGTTCGAGGTGAATCTAGTAATCGTAAATCTAACAGCAACAATAACGATGACAACGAGAATGATGGATCAGCAGATTATTCGGAAGAAGGAACCCATAATGTAACAACAGCACTGAATGGTGACAAGGAAGAAATTAAAGAACTTAAGAGAAAATTGGATGATAGTGAAAATGCTTTAAATGATAACAATCAACCAATCAGTAAAAGAAGAGCAATTTGGGCAGGAATTGGTGCAACTATTGGTGCTGGTGTTGCTGCAATAACTCTTAATAGTACTGGAATCACCGAGACAGTTTTGAGTTATTTCAATTAAACTTATATGAAGACTTTGGTACAATATTTAGCGGGATGATTGTTTATTATGATTATGGATTTGAATTATCACGGCTAGGTTTTTTTTTGATGATAAATTTGATAAATTCTGAACAAATATATATATATATATAATAATTACATTCATAATATTTTATTTTATTTTATTTTATTTTATTATTTTATTACTTTAGATATTAGTTTTTATTTTTAATTTTCAATTTATTTTATTTTATTTTATTTAATATTTTTTTTTAGAAATTCCCTTCCCTATATATACCTTTTTTTGACTTTATAGATGAGATTTTATTTTATTTTTTTCATAAAAATAATTAATTAGAAGAATTATTTACCCTTATTTATTTTGATTGTGTAGGTTATTATTATTAGTAGCGGTAATCAATCAAATTTATCTATTAATCCATATTTTATTCCACATCATATTATTTCAATATTATTATTATATATATCATCAATTATTATTATCTTATTATAACCATTATTATAACCAAAGGAAAATAAATCTTAAATTTCTTCATATCATTTATTTTTTATGTTATTGACACAAAAAAATGTTAAACCAGGAAATAACGCCAAGTAATATTATAATGTAATGAAAAATATTCCTTGGTGACAGAATCAAATTTTTTTGAAATTTTGATATTACAATGATTTGATAATCTTGGTAAAATAATAAATTAATCATGATAAAAAAAAAAAATCCATAAAAAACCGTCTTTTAATTAGAAAAAAGTAATAGTAACAATAACATGGCATCAACAGTTGTCGGTAGGTTCTTTCTATAAATCTGATAAATTTGATAAATTTAAACAGTTTAAAAATAAATTCTAAAGAAAAATGTTTCAAAGAGGTCATTTCACCAACTACAAAGCAACAATCGCCACAAGTAGCGTCAGAAACTCAAATAGCAAAAGAATCAAACCGAATTCATGGTTTTATTGCCGGTGTTGCTTCTGGAGTTACTAAATTAACTGTTGGACATCCATTTGGTAAATATAAAGCAAAAACAAGAATTACCCGACAATAATAATAATGTTAATTTTATTATTTATTTATTTTATTTTGTATAGATACAATTAAAGTTAGATTACAAACTACTGGAACTACCGGAAGATTTAAAGGACCGATTGATTGTTTAATATCTACATTACGAAAAGTAATTTTTTATTTTGATTAAAGAATAAAAAAATTGGTTTTTCAAAAATGGTTTAATTTATATATCTGTAGGAAGGATTCCGAGCTCTATATAAAGGTGAAGGAATTTTTTAAAAAGAAATTATTTAGAAATAAGTTTGTTTGTTAATAAGAATTTATGAAAGATTGCGTAAAAGGGATTTTTGCAAAAATTACTTGTTACTAAAATATAATGCCAATATTTGAACACTTTATGATTTTGAAATAATCACAATATTAAAGATATTTATTATCTGCTTAAAAAATAACATTTAATATAGGCGCAACACCACCACTTATAGGATGGGTATTCTTAGATTCTATCATGTAAGTATTGAAAATAAAAGAGAAATCGAAAGTAATATTCAATTAAATCTTACTAAATGAATGACTTTAATTGATATAGGTTAGGATCACTTCATAATTATCGATTATTATTACAAGGAAATGATCCAAATGTTAAATTAAATGTTCTTCAACACTCGTTGGCAGGAGGAGGTGCATATTATATACACATATGCTTACATCTACATAAGCCATGTGCATGCATATATATATACTTATATAATACTTATACTTATATATATATATATAGGTGCTGGCATCACAGTAGCATTTTTTGCTACACCATTTGAACAAGTCAAGGTAAGTAGACTTTGAGAAAAAATATATTATATTTAAAAAAGCTAGAAACGATGATGATATTATAATTTTAAATTTTTAAGGCAAGATTACAAGTTCAATACGATAGTACAACAAGGACATATAATGGACCAATTGATTGCGTCAAAAAACTGGTTGGTATCATGTATAATGTTTTACTAATTTTACTAAATATCAGGCATTCAAAAAAATTTTATTTTTATATTTAAAAGGTAAAAAATAATGGTATAGTTGGATTGTGGAGAGGATTAAGTGGAAATTTACTTTTTAGAAGTTGGTTATCTGTATTTTGGGGATCATACGAAGTAAGCCATTCATCTCATTATATATAAGAGAGTAAAAAGTTTAGAAAATGATTGCTCTTTTTCTTCAAAAAAAAATTAATTAATTTGTTTTTTTTTAAAAAAAGCTTTATTCAATATGGTTACGTAAATTAAATTTAAATGAAGCAAGTATAAATTTTTTAGCAGGCGGTTTAAGTGCAAATACATTTTGGTCCATTTCAATGCCATGTGGTACTTATTACATATTATAAATAATTTATAATATTATTTTATCAATATTGGTGACAATTTTTTTTTTTTTGTTAGATACTGTAAAAAATAGAATGATGGCCCAACCAGATATAAAGCCTCTTCAATTTCCAACATTGAGAGGTTGTATTTCACAGATATATAGAACAGGTTTGTAATAAAATTAAAGATGAATTTGATTTTAAAAAAATTAATTTGTATAGTTATTTTCTATTTTATATTTATAAACACATAATATACATATATTTATTTATACACAAATATTTTGTAGAAGGAATAAATGGATTTTATAGAGGTTTTATACCTTGCATATTAAGATCTTTTCCTGCAAATGCTTGTGCAATTGTAGCATTTGAATCAACAATGAGATTTTTAAAAAATAAAAATTTATAATAAACTTCTTTGGGAATTATACTATTGTCCTTGTATTATGCTTTATATTTTATATTGTAATTGTTATCATATCTGTTGTCATCATTTTCATCATCATTCATTATTAATAATATTTCTTTTTCATAAACAAAATTTTGCAAGTTTCAAAATAAAAACTCTCTTATTTAAATGGCATTGAATGAAACTTTTCTTTACAGGGTTCTTTTTTATTTCAGAAAGCTCCTTGTTTATACTTTTTCTATCAAAATTAACTGGTGCATTATTATACATTTTATTAACAATTTTATTTACAAATTTGTGATGATAGATGGCATTTTTTTGCAATTTAAATTTTTATTGATTGGTTGGTATAAATGAATAAAAACAAAATTAAATTAATGAATAAATGAATAAAAATCAATTAATCATCCATTATCAATCCTTTCCTTTCCCTTTACTATTATTATTACAGGTAAATTGTATATAATTATAATGGATAGTAACTTCCAATTAATTAATAATGAAATTTTTTTCAACATTTAAGAGAAATGAGTTAAAATCAAGATCATTTAATGAAGTCAATACTTGTATAACTTTTTAAGCTATTATATTTGGCAATTTCTTCATCTACTTGTATGATATGCATCTGGATGTGATTTATGTATTTGTTGCGAATCACTACCACCATCATTATTAAAATCAATTTCAAGCTTCTTGAATAATCTTCTTATTAAACTATTATTGCTTTTCAAACTCTTATTTTAGCAAAATATAGAAGCTCTTCACTAGTTGGTCTTTTTGATGAATCCACATCCAAACACCTCTGCATCATTTGTGCATAATCATTGGGCATTCCAGGTAATATTGGTGATCATAAACCTTCACATATATCAAAAATTAAATTATGATTGTGAGCTCTATCATTAAATGGCAGATTACCTACAAATATTTCCCACATTAACATCCAACACTATAAATATCAGATTATTTTTGCCTTTAAGTAGCTCAGGTGCAACTATGATATAATTCCATAGATTTTATTTGATGATTTTTAATCAATTGGCCTACATAATCCCAAATATGCAATATAACAATTACCTCCCTGCAATAATATGGGGTATGCTGCAATAAAACCAGACAAAGTGAACATTAGTACTACCAAAAGTTTCAGGGATTGTAAATGTGATCAAATTGGTTTGATGATTTCAAAGATCAAAATTATTTCAATTTTGATGAAAGCAATACAATTTGGTATAATAACAGCAATAACAATATGATTTATCTTATATTATATTTCTATTTTTTTTTTTAAAAAAAAAAAGAATAAATGATATAATTTTCTTATTGATAGTTACCAGCAATAAGTAATCATTATTGTTTTCAATTAAAAATTTTAGTTATACTCCCACCATGAGATAGATGGTGCCACAGAAGTTGGTTTGGAATCATTTGAATCATTTGTAAATTAGGGAAAATTTTCCAAAAATCCATTAAACTGAGATATCCGCTATATTGAGAAGGTTTTTATTAAGGTTTATTATGAAACCGTTCTTTGAACTTTATCTGTAAAACTGAGATTTTTAATTAGTATCACTAAATTGAGATTCACTGTGTATTTTGTTTATTTTGCATTCAAAAAAATAGAATTATAACTGAAATCATCAATGATTTATCATTGATAAAAAAGGAAAGCATGTATACCTGAAGACATCAGCAATAAAAAATATTATATTTTGTTGCACAATAAATTATTGGCTGGATTAAATGTAACTCAACCCCGTACTCAATTTCAATAATAATATGTCACGCAAATGACAATTAATTGTATTACGATATTTGGTAATCAGAGGAATTCATTTTTTTTATCGTTACTTGGCAATCGGGATTTTTTGTTAAAGAATTATACATATATTATTATTGTTATCATTATTATTTTTATTAAGGAATGTGGATATTATATTGTTATGTTATATTGTGGGGAATATAATCATATTATTATTATATTTTATATTATTTATAATCAAAGAAGTTATCATTAAATTATGATCATACTTTCCGGGAAGTCTATAAGCTTCCATACAATATATATATTATATATTTATTTATTTTCTCATGATTTATATTATATTTCAAGAATTGTATTTTTATTATTTAAAGAAGTAAAATTCAAACAAATAAAGATAACTTTTATATAACTTTACAACAATAAAATTATCAGTTCATTATTATTGTTAGATAAATATTTGAACATTTTTAAATAATTGTGATAATTATTTGAACGTTTACAGTCCCCCTACCCAAAATTATTAAATTGGTTAGTATCAGAGAAACAGAGCATTTATGGAAATGACTATACAAAACAATCACTATTTTACAACTTTCCTCTTAACATCAGAGCCCAATGCAATTTCAGGGCCACAAACCCTGCTCTGGATTGTGACCTCCTGTGCTTGAATGAGCTGCAGATTTTTTTAATATTCCTCCAGAGTTGCGACAGCTTGGTCGCAGAGCCATCCTTGTCCTAGAGTAGGCAACTTTTCGACCAGCATGCCAGCGGCCATCTCTGGTCTGGGAAGATTAGTGAAAACATCCATGACGATTGATGCAATCTTGGTAAATTCCAAAGCCACGCCATACCCTTGGAATTCTGTTTCATCATTGTATCATCGATCAATCAGGTCAGATTAGCCTTTTGTACACGAGGAACATGTGAGAATGACTGTAAAGTTCAAGGTAGCATGCGTGCTTCAACATCTGTAAATTTCTGATAATCAAACGTTGCATTTCGAAATGTTTCTTTTGCAACAGTCAATGCTGCCTTGACATCTTGTAATTATAATGATTAGTATTATTATTACGATTACGCAAAGCAAAATATTATCAATGAAAATTTTGTAATTACCCAGCAATGATCTGCTTCGCATTTTGATTCCAATCAAAATATTTATAAGCTAAAATAAAAATATCGATACAAATAAAAAAAAGTAACCCTGGTTAGATATTAACACGTATTCCCAAACCAACCAAACCAAATCAAACAACAACACTCACGTTTTGTCACCTTGGACTCTGTTTTTCCAAAAAAAAAAATCAATCAATTTGCGTCTGTCCTCCCCAAAAAAAAAACCAATAGGATAAATAATTAATGTGTATGCATCGATCAAATCACAAACTTCTTTTTATTTTACAAACATGTCATTTGTAAAAATACCAAAAAAAGAAGTAAACAAGATGCTGAAAAAATATATGGGTAAGTGTTTTAAGGATGGTGGTGGATAACAACAATTGAAGATGAAATAAAGGTTGATTTTCTCAGAATTTTACCACCCGAGTTGGCTTCCCACATAGTGGGATATTTAGATACACCAAGTATGTGCAAGGCAGCACAGGTCAATAAAAATTGGAGAAATGTCATTGATAGTGATAGGGTAATTTGGAAAAAGTGCTTGTTATTTGATGGAAAAATCTGTTGAAGAACATGCTATACGTGAAAATTGGAACATACAAAATTCGATTGATTCACCATCATTAAACATCAGGTTGGCAAATTGACTGGTCCATTGAGAACAGATGAATTTTGGACTGGTCCATTGCCATTAATAAAATACTAAATATGGTTAAAGTGTTACACTAATGGACCCAATGGACCAC